TGCCACAATTGGCGACTAAAAAAAATATTTTAGTCACTATATAGTTAGTTTTGGTTACTAAAATATTTAGTCGCTGAATAATAAACAAAAATTAACTTTTTATTTTTGGCGACCAAACATTTGGTTGTCAAATATTTTAGCTACTAAAATTATTTAGTCGCCGAATGAAAAATAAAAATTTACTTTTTATCTTTGGTGACCAAAAGTTTGGTCGCCAAATATTTATTTTCAGCAGTTTTGGCTACTGAAATTATTTAGTTGTCGAATGAAAAAAAAATGTCGCCAAATATTTATTTTCAGCGACTAAAAAATATTTTAGTTGCTGTATAGTTGGTTTTGGCTACTAAAATTATTCAGCCGCCAAATGAACAATAAAAATTTACTTTTTATCCTTGGCGACCAAAAGTTTGGTCGCCAAATATTTATTTTTGTTGCCAAAGAACTAAAATATTTGAAAAGAGACATTTCAAATTTTGGAGGGACTTATAAAATATTTTCAGTAACTAAATAATATTTTAGTTGCCAATAACCATACATATATATATATATATATATATTCTTCTTTTCCCTATTTTTTTGCCCTAAATTGAATTTTTTTCTCTGAAAGAGCTCTCTCTTCCCTAACTGTGGGTCATCGATCTCAATCTCTCAAGTCGTTTTGTATGTCCTTGCCACCATCGCTGACACCACCGGCGGTCTTTGCCGGTACATCTAACTGTAAGCCTCGTGGTGGTGATACCAGAACTCATCGGTAGCGGCTGGGCTAGGGCTAGGGCTCCACACCAATTGAGCCATTGGTTTGACTAATTTGATGGCGTCGTTCTATGGAAACAAGTCGACCACGCTTGATCTTCTTGGGTTGGGGATTGGAGCTGGTGGAGCCTTCATTGCTAGCTTCTCGGCTTTGTTCACTTCCATTGGAAGTGGGCTTGATGTTGCGGTGGCAGTCCGGGAAATTAAGTTAGAGGGAGCACTAATTACAATTTAAAAAAAAAATCATGATCAACATTAAGATAATAATAATTTTATGAGCTAAATTTAAGCATAAGAAATTAAAAATCATTATTAATAGGAACAAATCAAAATTCTATAATAGTGTGTAAAAGCTCGGTGCAAGATGGTGATGTAAGTTTGTAATTTTAGCACAAAGAATTATAAATCAAAATTCCTAATTTTATAAAATAAAAAAATCATTTATACCACATATTATTATAAAATCTATTTAATTTTTATTTGACAGAAAATATTAAAGAGATGATATTGCTTATAAATAATGTGTTTTGAATGGAAACTATTACATAGTTTTAGAGTACCATATGACATTACCAATGTGATGCTCAAAGCATGAGAAATCACAAATCACACAAAGTAGTTTGTCAACTACCTGAAAATAATGAGTTAATTATATTCAATCAATAAGATTTCCCACTACACTATTGGTTTAGATTACTACATAAACAATATCACATAATACTCCCAAAGTATCAAATAACTATTTATGAACAATACAATAAATCCTTGGCCAAAAAAAATATTAAAAAAAAAAATACATTTTGTATATGACTACAAAACAATAACAAAAAAAATTCAAAATTGAGGGGGGCACGTGACCCCCCTGGGCCTTCTTTGGCTTTGCCCTTAGTAACGGCGGCGGCGGCGACGGCTTCATTTGAAGGAGTGAATTCCTCGGTTGAAGAATGTTGGAAAAGTTCATCTAAAATTACACTTTTCCCAACCAATTTTGTGGACTAACTTTTATTTAGTCGCAAAAAGTTTTCATTTGGCGACTAAATTAAAATTTGGTAGGCAAAGGGTTGGAGTTTTGCTGACTAATATTTTGTAGTTGCCAAAATAGAATTTTTTGCGACCAAAATTGAAATTTGGTTGGCAAAGGTCGAACATGGAAGACAAAAAAAAAAGCGGGAATGAAAAAAATTTTAGCGACCAAAATAATTTGGTCGTAGATAATAAAACGACACCGTTTTGAATGTTATTTAAATAAATTGAAGGACAATACCAACCAAACAGTTTTGCAGGGAAAAAAATTGCCTATATATCCCGCGTACCACTCCTTATACGCACCTCATCGTCGATTCTCCTGCTCGATCGCAGTCACCAAAGTCGCTCCTCCTCTATCATCGCAGTTGCCTGTATCGCTTCTTCGACCAAGCATCAGAGGCGCTTCGAGAAGTACTTGGGCCTCCATTGTTAGGTATGTATTTTATCTCTATTTCTATCTATCTATCTGTCTGTCTGTCTGTCTGTCTGTCTCTCTCTCTCTGTATTTGTGTTCCATTACTCCTCTTACTCACATGGTTGCTCTCTCTTTTCCTACCTAATAGCACCACCATCACCATTTTTCTGCTACTACCAGTTCGCCTATCTTCAAACAACCCTGAGATCAGGTGTGAGTCCTCTCTCTCTCTCTCTCTCTCTCGCTCAATTTCTCTATTTTCCCTTGTTTTCCCTAATTTTCAAAACCAATTTTTTTGTTTTCCCTAATTTTCAAAACTCTAATGAGTGTATGTTTGAAGGGATGGCCTCAAATCATACTCTCCAAACAATACAAAAAATGAAAACTGATATGTATATATATATATATGTATATTCTTGTTTGTTCTAGTTGGGATGACAGAACACATGCAAGTATACCATATTTGCTTTATATAATTTGCTTATTAATTGGGAATTTTGTGTATCGCTATTTGTATGATTTGGGTTATCCTTGGATAGCATGATCAATGATTTGTATCTCATTGATTGCCTTGTATGTACATAAATATATATATAAAGAGGTTTGATCATTTTCTCTGTAAAAAAGACTCTTTTTCATTATTATTATTATTATTATTTTTTCTTCTCCCAAAAGGCGTATTCTTTGGAGTTTTGTAATACTTTTATCTTTTAACGTTGCTTATTAACTGAACGAATGTGACTCACGCGAACTAATTGCTCTGGGGCTAAAGAGTTGTGATTGCTTCTTGTTTTTGTTTGTAGATCCCACATATATATCATCTTAGTGTATGAAGAAACAGCTGGGTTGACGGTCAATGATCCTATTTTACGAACACACAAGGTAATCTTGTTATGTTTTTTTACAATATTATTGTTAGAATTTTTGAGTTGTTATAGATCGAACATTAAATGCACTAACATTTAACTTGTTCATTGACATTACAGCCTTTGTTGGTGGAGTTGGGTCCTGGAATCTTGGGGAATATATTTGATGGTATTCAGGTTTGTGAAATATATGCTCCTTCATATTTCCCAACTTGAATGTTGTCTGAACAAAAACTTTTTGTAATTGGGTTTTTTTATTATTAGCCTTTCTTAAGAAGGACATTTACCCACTGACAATCCATTTATTATTTTAAAAAAATGTAGAGGCCTCTAAAGACCATCGCAAAGCGATCTGGTGATGTGTATATCCCTCGTGGTGTCTCTGTCCCGGCCCTTGACAAGGACACCCTTTGGGAATTCCAGCCTAAAAAAATAGGTAATCAAAGAGCATTTTACTTTAGTTGTTTAGAGACAATTGTTATGGCTTTTGTTTACATTAGAGAGCTAGAAAGACCTGATGCTTTATAGTTTAACGTCATCTGTCGGTGGCAGGTGAGGGAGGTCTTGTGATAGGGGGAGACTTATATGCTGTAAGTTAAACAATGCTTAACTTAGTTTACATAAGTTTAAAGTCCTTTCTGTAAAATTTTGTTGCCATATGTGTTTGGCATTTTTATTTTGTTGTTCTTCATCTAAGGTTGCCATGGTTAAATCATTATGCAGATTGTCTTTGAGGACAGTTTAGCACAACACCATGTTGCACTTCCTCCTGATTCTATAGGAAAGATAACCTCCATTGCACCAGTTGGTCAATATTCATTGAAGGTTTGTCTAATTTATTTTTTGTTTTTGTCATTCAACGTTGGCTATTCTTTGTATGACATCCTTAAGGTCAAGTCAGTAATCTTTTGAACTATGTTTTATTTGCATTTACCATGCACCTGGACAATTTTGACTCAGATATATATGGTAGAAGTTTGTCCCTCCCATGCACTAGTCCTTGAGTAGAAACTATATCCCTAATCTATATCTTCATTTATAGACAATCATATAAGGATTCTGAAAGCTTCAAGTCCACCACCTAAATCAATGATTGTCTTGAATTCTTTCAGAACGAAAGCTTCATTAATCTTTCACTCTTCAAAATAAATCTGAGGGTTTTTAGATTTAAATCAGATAAAAAATAAAAAGAAAGAAAGAAAGAAAGGCAATACTCATCTTACTAGACTTTTTAAAGTAAAGGCATCAGTGCCTAATCAATGTATCAATACAAACATTATAATCTTTTTTTCCCTTTTTGGTTGACTGGGAGGTTCATAATTACAAAACTTAGAACAAGCTCCGCAACGAACATCCAATGGCATCAACATTATAAATCTGTAACAATTTGGTCAAGAATATCATAATACTATATAATCATGTCCATAGTTCCTGAACAAGATTTGCCAAAAAGATATTCCAATAGAATTTCTCTCTCAATGCTTCTTTCTTTCTCGAACCTACAAACAGAATAGATTATTCACACCAGATCCAATAGTGAAAACCAAAATGAATGGAAATGCAACTAAAGACAAGTTAGAACTGCATGCTTAAAATGGACCATAGCAAAAGGAAGCTTAAATGGGAAAAAATTTACTATTGTCATAATAATCTCTTATAGCAAAGAAAACAAGCATAGATAACATAGCAGACTCAAGCATAGGCTTGAATCCTCCCTTGAGCCAAGGACAAGGACATTTTATTTACCAAAAAGAGGCAATGACTAATAAAGAAATATAAAGATTTAGATATGATCTTGCAAGGTCTCTCTCATGCTAAAAAGGGCAAGCAAGTAAGCACCTGGAAACAGAGCAGTCTAGTTGATTTTTATGGAAAGTATCAAGCTATGGATGTATGACCAATACTTCCAAAACATTTCATAATTATCTATAGTATTTATTATATAAAGTCTACAACTAAAGTCGGTGAAGCTTTGAAACCCTTTTCTTTTTTTTTTCTTTTTTTTTTTAATTTCTAAAAATGCCCATACATGAACAATTACATAGGAGCAGTCAAATTGCTTCAATTTTTTTTCCAAAAAAAAAAAAAAACTCTAAACTGTTTTTTTTGTAGATTTCATAGCACACAACTCGTGTGTGGATAACCACTAGCAATTCATATTCTTAATTTTGAAAACTGACCAAGAACTTTGGCTTTTAAACATAAAAAAAGGTATTCCATATGAGTCCCACAAAAAAAAGCCAACAGATAAGGGTGTAATAATGGCCCGGCCCGGCCCGGCTCAGCCCATTCGGGTCCGAGCCCAGGCCGGCCCATTTGGGCTTTGGGGGCTCGTGGTTTTTTAGCGGCCCGGCCCGGCCCGGCCCATGGGCTAAAATGTGGGGCCCAGGCCCAAGCCCACTCATAATAGGGCCTAGGGCTGAGCCTAGGGCCTGGGCTCAGGCCTTGGCAAGCGGGCCGGGCCTAGTCGGGCCTTTTTTTTAATATTAGAAGTAAAATTTTTTTTAAAAAAATTATACTAGAGTATTTTAATTACGATTAATGAGATATTTTGTTTGGTTATGTAATGTTTTATAGTGATATTTAAATTTAATTATATATGATTTATGTTTTTTTAATTGTGAACTTATAACTAAAAAAGTATGCAATTATGTAATTTTTTTTTCTTTCGAAATGAATAATTTTATATATATGAAATTGAAACTTTCAATATTACAATATTAAATTATTTATATAACATTTAAA